CCGGCGCGCATTACCGACACCACCCTTGAAAAGCACAGCATTTTTGCATTTCTCCCTTTTCCCCGCGTCGTACTTCGATATGCGCAATAAACCCTGTAAAACACAGTGTTTTTTATACCTCACACACACGATACACTGTAAATTACAGGGGCTTCAGTGAACCGGTCGTCCCCCCGTTTTGGGACCGAGGGTCGGCGGCAGCCGGCGCGACCGTCTATAACCTTCGGTTACCACCGAAGGCCTCCGGCAAGGACACGGGCTTCGTGGCCGGCGCCCGGATTTCAAGGCTTACGCCTAACAGCCGGGCGCCGGCCCACTTGGGTGTGTGGGGCGTATGTCACGCCTATGTTGGCCTTGGTGGGGCCTATATTGAGCAAAGTTAAGCTATCTGGTGCGCATCTTGGCCCTAGGTTGGGCCAAGTGGGGCCCATGTGGTGTATGTTGAGCACATCGTGGGCCCATGTTGAGCCTATGTTGGGCCTATGTTGGCCTATGTTAGGCCTATGTTGGCCTATGTTGGCCTGGGTTGGGCCATGTTGGGCCTATGTTGGCGTCTGTTGGCCCCAAGTTGGCCTATGTTGGCCCTATGTTGAGCCATCTTGGAGGCTATGTTGGCCATATGTTGGGAATATGTTGGCTATCTAGGGCCTCTGTTGGCGATATGTTAGGAATTATGTTGAAAAAATCTTCCGATACAACTTTTGACGATTTGTTCCTTCCCGCAAACCAAAAACACTGAAAAAACCGACGTGTTTTTTTTTTACGTCGCCAAGCTGAAATTCTCGGCTGCCGAGGGGCCCGAAACCCTGTAAAGGGATATGTTGGCCACAAAGAGCACATCTGGGGCCCATATTGATCCTACGGTTGAGCACGTTAACCCTATGTTGGCCTCAGTTGGGCCTATGTTGGGCCTATGTTGGCGTCTGTTGGCCCCTAGTTGGCCTATGTTGGCCCTATGTTGAGCCATCTTGGAGGCTATGTTGGGCATATGTTGGGGATGTGTTGGCTATCTTGGGCCTATGTTGGGCCTATGTTGGCGTCTGTTGGCCCCAAGTTGGCCTATGTTGGCCCTATGTTGAGCCATCTTGGAGGCTATGTGGGGCATATGTTGGGGATCTGTTGGCTATCTTGGGCCTATGTTGGGGATATGTTAGGCGATTTATGTTGAAAAAATCTTCCGATACAACTTTTGGCGATTTTTTCCTTCCCGCAAAGCAAAAACCATGAAAAAACCTAGGTTTTTTGACATCGCCCAGATGAAATTCTCGGCCGCCGAGGGCCCCCAAACCCTGTAAAACACAGTGTTTTTATACCTCACACACACGAAACCCTGTAAATTACGTTGATATCAGTGACTCGGTGGTCCCCCCGTTTTGGTGACGAGGGTCGGCGGTGGGTCGGCGGCAGGGGGCGCGCCCGTCTATAACCTTCGGTTACCACCGAAGGCCCTCCGGGCAGGGCACGGGCTTCGTGGCCGGCGCCCGGATTTACCAGGCTACCGCCTGCAGCCGCCGACCCCAAAAAAAAATGTAGTGGCAGGGTTGGGTCCCGGGATGGTCGCGGGCGGGGTCCTGCCAAAATCTAGACAAAGCCAAGAGCATTCCTACGAAAATGCTGGAAAAGCCGTATAGGCATGAGTACAACAATGGAAAAAAATAGGCTAGCAAAAGGTTACCAATTTTTTGGGGAAATCTGGGAACCAAAAAACAAGAGGAAGCGCTAGAAAATTCTTGGAAAAGCATCCAGCCGAAAACATAACAAAATCTAGACAAAGCCTAGAGCATTCCTAGGAAAATGCTAGAAAAGCCCTTGAAAATCCCATAAATCCAACAGAAAACGTGACAAAATCTACGAAAAAGCAAGGGCATTGGCCGGGACCATGCCGCGACCAGCCCGGGATTCGAGCCCAGGACCATTTTGGACCGTGCTTATTTTCCCGCGCGGGTGGAGAGGGTGCCCCAAGATGTAAATCAATTGGGATGGCAGAATGTTGGACAATCCAGGTCACCATCAGGTCGCTTTCCCGTCAGTTCCGTAGCTATCAGGTCGCTCTTAGGTCGCTTTTAGGTCGCTTTTAGGTCGGGATTTCGTCACTGCAACAAGGGTCCGGAGGGGTAGGGGAGGTGAGGTCTAGGTCTAAGGCTAAGGACTAGGTCTAAGTCTAAGGATAAGGCTAAGGCTTAAGTCTAAGGCTAAGGCTAAGGCTTAAGGCTAAGGCTAAGGCTTAAGGCTAAGGCTAACATCGACAGTCACGCCTCACCCCACGGTGTGGGGTCGGCGGATTCTAGGGGGCTTTATTAATCACAGGTCAACATTAGATGAACCCAGGGGCTGCTGGCCTAGCCACAGGTTGGAGACCAACCTTCCACAACCTTCCACGGTCTAGGCTAGCGTAACTGAAACCGATGCAGTTACAACTATTTGGCACCGTCCACAGCAGTTTCTTTTCTAGGCTGTCTATGGCGGCTTTCACAGCGCCAGAGCCAACAGTTGGGGTTACTGTGGTACTTTAAGCTGTATAGTTCGAAATTGTCCTTTCGACAACATTTTGTCGAAGAGTTGGTCATGAGCTGCACATTGAAAACACTACAGTAAGGGGATCGGCAGATTAGCCGCCTCACCTGAAATACACACAAGCGTCACGTCAACAAACTGGTGTAAAGTGTAAAGCACATGCTATCAACTTAAGGAAGGTGCAACACCAGAATGTATACGGTGCGCAATGCAATAGAACAAGAACCCATGGCAACATGCAAGCTTTGCACCGAAGTTATTGTTTGGTCTACTTCCAAGATCTTCCAAGCCCCTGCTCGGAGTTGAACTCAACCTAGCCTCCAAGTATCTCACTCGATGCCAAACGTCTGTAGCTTGAACCGGAACTCAACCTCGAACGCCCACTGGTGCTGGTCCCTACTGACTTCAAAAAATAAAGCACACCACCACCCACTGCGCCATGTGTGTGATGTGCTTAACAAGCGGGCATATACTCCTATGAGAAAATTGATGAGGTGACTTTTTTAATTGCATGTATGAGATGTATGGAATTGGGCCATGTATGACCCAACCAAAAGGAGTTGATTGCGCCATGTATGGGCGCTTTCCCGCAAATGTGTGGCAGACATGGTGCAATCTACCTTAAGCCGCTTACCACTGGTTCTTGAACGCATTGCGCAATCCTTTTTCACCCCGTTTTAGATGATTGGGCTTCGCTTTTGCGTGGTTTTGAACACTGTATGCCAAGAGGTTGCTAAATCGTGGCTGAGTGCTCTAGTATTTGCCCTTGTCGGAGGCAGTGCCTGGTGCTCGTCTTGTCGAGTTTGGACCTTGACTGTGCAAACTGCTTTGAGTATCCAGACCTTTCGTTTTGCCAATCTTTGGCGTTTTCAGGCGTAGTAAAAAGGGACGGCAAGACTCGAGCCCGGGGAGAGAGGCAACGCAGGGATACAATGGGCATACATCGTGATATTATTGGCTGACAATTTTTGCCCTTTCGAGATGCCCGGTCGCTTCCACTTCCAGGCTTCAGCTGAAAAACCTCGAAGAAAGAAAGATAAAGAAGGCGCTCAGATGGAGGGTCTGCAAAGATTCCCAAAAGGCAGAATGTTCATTAAGGTGCTAGACCAGCCACCGAGTCGGGCACAAAGGCTGGCAGCTGACACGTCAGATGAGATGTTAGGGGACTTCAAACACATGAAGGCGGTGTGTGTGTTTTTAATGCATTTGCGAGTCCAAAGTGAAGCTCTACAAGATGGGAGAGTTTTGCTGCAACATTGTGGCCAACTTTGTCAAAGGCAGTGACCGCCGGTGAACACTTCTGAGCAATGTTTGCGTCTTGATAGTTTGATTTACTTTGAGGCAAGGAATCGCCGGAGTCTTTGACCACGAAGCTGCAGATTGATCAGCGAACAAAGGACCCTTCATTGATTTGATCCAGTCAATGTATGCAGAATGCATCAAAGACAGCAGCTTTTGGCAGATCGACCACTGTCGAGCTCACATGGAGAGAGCTGGCCAATTGGCAACTGTATGGCACTTCTCCGCTGCAGACAGGCCTGAATTGGTGTGGTCTATGTACCAAGTCAAGCATCTCAATCGAAAACTGATAGTATGCAGCAGTTTGATTTGCCAGGAAAGACTGTGCTGCGTGGGGAGCTTATTTTTTCTTGCTTGTTGTAGATTGCAGACAAGTATAGACTTGCTGAAGGTATGATGCCCTTTGTGACTACTTTGTGGAGAAACAGCGAGTAGGAAAGCCTGGGACATCTGAAAGTATTTGGTTAAGGGATTCTTTACCAGCAAGTGTCTTGCACCGTTGACCAAAATTTGACACCCGAGTCCCTAGCTTTGCTGCAGAAACTTCAGCTTTTGGGCTGAAACTAAAGTCTGTAGGTTGCGGAGTTTTGTTGTTGAACAAGACCGAGAGGTGCCCTTGCTTTGCAGGACTGGTACAGACTCCGAACTACTATATCTACATAGTTCCGCCAACGGAGAAGCTCGATACTCAAGAAAGGGGCCAGAAGTGCAGGCAGCGAGGTCATGGGAAATGATCCATCTCTGCAAGGTCGTGTGTTACCCGTCTTCCTCCAAGGTATTTGAAGGAGCTGAATTTGCCAGCTTCAAACTTTGTGGTGGGACTCCAGATCCCAATCAAAAAATGAAATTCTGAGACAACTGATGTTAGCGGAGTTTGGACAAAGTCTCCGCAAGCTCCCAAAATTCTCTTTGTTTGGCAGTCAGTGTGACAATGCACAGCATCCAGAGGGGGAGGTGGAAAACACCGATGTGGAGAGTGTGGTCTGCAATTCCTTGCTCATCACCACTGTAGGCAATGCATGCGGACAGCGTACATGCTGCATTGAATATGCTTTTCACTTCCATGGAATGTGCCTACCGAAGCTTCAGTTCCTCAAGCTGGCCAACATTAAGACTTGAATGACATGACATGGCATACAATCAACAGAGCAATACGAGTAACAAGAAGCTACTAGGGGCTCCTGGCCTTACTACTAGGAGCAAGGGCGCTACTAGGGGCTCCTGGCATCGCTACTAGGAGCAAGGACGCTACTAGGAGCAATACGAGTGGATGCCTCACACAATTCGTGGCTGTTCACAAAGTAAAATAGGCTGAGTGACATGCTAGGTTGCCTCTTCATGCATGGCTCCTTTGCCGGCTTGGAAGAAGGTTTTGTCCCACTGGCCCGCTTGCACGCATTGTTTGTTTGTTATTTCTTCTTGGGGGGCTGGCTGATTATATAAGGCTTACTGTATATGGATTGACAGGGCATGAGTGGGCCAGGTATTTGAAGCAGCCGTACGATGACAACTACGTAGATTCTTCTTTTCTTGATTCACTGAAAGTCAATGCGCATCTACAAAAATACGAGCCAAATCCTTACGTCACATGCAGTCCAATGGAGAATGGTGTCCACGAATCTTCACGACCGAGCTTGGGTTTTCCCAAGGTTTTGGGCCCTGTGGCACGATGCTCTCTCGATCATTTTCCAGCTTTCTTTGGTAGTGATGTTTCTTAACGCCTGAGACCGAGCTCACTGACTGAACATGGTGAACAATGAGCAGTGCAGCAACGCAATTATATAATCGAGTCTCCGAAACGTATGTATGTACTAGTAATGTAATGTAATGTTATGTAATAGTAATGTTATGCAAATAATGCTATGTAATGTTATGCAAAGCAAAGCAATATAATGTTGTGTAATGTTCTGTTCTGTTTTGTTCTGTCATGTATCGATGTATAGTATGTACGGTATATATATGGTATTTATGGTATGTATGGCATGCGTGTGTATTTTGGCATGTACGTATGCATGCATGCATGCATGCATTTTTTCTTCTGAAGTTTATGATGCATGGCCGTTGTGGCCCTCGTTCTAGGTCTTGTGCCTCAGGGGATGCCAGATGCCTGTCTCAGAAGTATTCGACGGTGAACGGAGTTTCATCGTGCTGTTCTTGGCTTTCCAACTCTTCGGTTGTAGCCCTCGGAGATGTGACTTCATGGCTTCTGCTGATGCTGGTAGACGGCCTTGCTGCTTCCTGGCTGGGCTTCATGGCCTTTGCAGCATGGGTCTGGTCTGGGCCCTGTTCATGGAGGTCAAGATCCGTCTGGAAATGGAGCCTCCTTGGTGGTCTGAGGGGGCCACTGCTGTTCGTGCGCTGGTCTTGTAGCACTCTCTGAGTGATCTGGTGGTGCCTTGGCCGAATGACTGGTGTCAGCCGAGGAGTCTGGGGAACCACTCTGAGATGCTTGTTCCAGCTGCTTCTTGAAGATCGCTGTCAGAGGTGTAGAGCTTTGGCTGCCGGAGCCTCTGCAAGGTTTTTTGACTGCTGCTGTGAGGATAAGCCGGTGCTGGCCATCAAGGTGCAGAGTGATACCACATTGGGCACACATTGCTTTGTTCCCTTTTTGCCATAAGGCATGACTTGAGTGCCCTGCATGCTCATGCTTGTAGGGTTGGTCAATGCATTGTCCTTGCACGAAAGCTTGAAAGGCGGCTTCATTGGTTCGTTTGTGGACATTGGTGCCGCATCTCACGCACCTGAGATATCCCGCAGTTTCCTCAAGCTCATGCTGTTGCGGCGGCGGCTGCATCTCTTGTTGTTGTGTCAGGAGATTCTTGATGACTTGTGTTCGCGTCAGCTTCTTGGCAATTGGCTGGTGTGGCTGTGCCGGGTGCTGTAGCTGGTCTTCGATCCTGAGTTGGGGGCACTCTTCATGGAGCCTCTCTTCCAGGACTTGAACTGTCAAGGCTTGGTGTACTCGGATTCCACATGCACCACACTGATGCCCACTTCTGTGTGGGGCCCATCGGTGAGAGGGAGCAAGCCAAGGTTTGCTGCACTGAGCTATGAGCTTGCTTTTTGTATTGCTTGGTTTGCTTTCCCTGGTGCCTGGGTGGCTTCTGGTGGATGTAGTGCTCCTTGTCACTGTATATCGTTGCCAGTCTGGTGATGGCATGGGTATAGATGAGCTTGTGATCATCATCCAAGACCCTCTGCCATTCTTGTTTTCGGTGGTCCTGGTATTGCTTGGCCCTCTCCCATGCAGTCAAAGCTGCATCTCTCTGCCGTCGTCTGAGCTGAGGTTCACTGCCAGGAGCTTCTGGTGACCTGGTGTTGCGGGAGACATAGAGGACCGTTACTTGTTGGAAGTCCTGCTCTCTGAGTTTCTCCAGCTGGTCATTGAAAGGTCAGTTGTGTCCATGCCTCCCAGACACTGACAAGCTGCGCAATGACCCGCACCGCCGTGGTGGTGTGCTTGGCGAGTGCAACTAGGCCTTCTATGAGCGCTCTGGCCTTGGTGTGGGGCGGGTTTGGTGCTCCTGTGATGGCCCCGAGAGGCCGAAGATCCAGAGTTGATCTCTGAGATCATAGCTGGATGGAGTGGCATCCAAGGTGAAAGCCCACCCTTGATGTTGATGGGGTGCAAGTGGTTGAAGAGTTTGCCACGCTCCATGTCCTTGGTATGGCTGCGGTGAATTCTTCTGTTCTTGTGGTTCAAGTGGAATCCAACCTGCCGTCCACAGTGGTGTTTCATCTTCACAAAGAATCCTCTCCGCCCATTCTGGTGGCATGGGCTTGTGAGGCTGGTTGTGGTGCCATTTGCACAACCACAAGATATGCTTTGTGGTTGCAGGGACATTGCAAATGGGGCATTGTTTGACCTTTCCACCTTCCTTGTAGTGGATGGCTGCCTGTGTCCAGGTTCGTAGATGTGGTTTGTGTTCGCCTGGAATGGTCTTGATGACCTGGCGGTATGTGTGCCAGTCAAGGCCTGCCACAAGATGCTGATGGTTTGCCTTGCTGGCCAATCTGGCTGTGCGCTGGCGCCTAGCTTCCGTGAGCAGAGCGCTCTCTAGCTTCCACCATGGATCTCGTAGTGTGAGGGCTGCCGCAACAAGGTAGGGTCCTTCTGGTCGTTGCCATTGATGTATGTCTTGTACCTGCCAGTTCCATTCGAGCATGTAGTGCGGCTGCCATTGGTCCCTTCGCTACATACGAAGGGTGTTGACGATCACTGAGTTGTTGGGTGACCTCCTGCCATGCTTGCTCAAGGTGCTGCACTTGATCTGCTGGCCAGTTGTGATAAAGGTGATGCATGGCTCTGATGTGGTGCAAGATGACTTGGTCTGCTGGGCCCATGTATTTGGTGCTATGAAGATCATAGGTGCTGTCCAGGAGTCCTCCAGCATGGTGCCTCAAATGTGTGGCAGGCCTGTCGGAGGGCCTGTCGGTATCGTGGTGCAAGCCCTTGGGCTTCAATGCCCCAGAGTGCCACAGGCTGAATGCCCCCTTTATGTAAGCGGAGCCTGATTTTCAAAGCCGGGGTCTTCAGCGTCCTCAGCTTCAGTCGTCGCTGTTTGGCCTTTTGGAACCTTTGTCTGAGGACTGGGATTCTTCGCCTTCGAGCTGCCTGGTGGTCCACCCCAAGGTCTCTCATCACAGTGGAGATGGGAGGCTCGTGTTCCTTAAGAAGCCCTTTGAGCGCATGCTCCGTGTCTCTATCAGTGGCAATGAAGGCCGTTTTCTTTGGATTGACTTTTAGCCCAGTAGTGGTGCTTGCGGGCATCCTGCTGGCACTCCATGATCAACATGGAAGAAGGGTGTCATCTCCTGTTCAGCCAGGATTGCCTTGGGACCACAGTACAACTGCACGGCAAGCTCCAACAGAAGGGGCGGGTAGTCAAGCTTGAGGGCTTCTTCCTGCAGACATGCCAGATTGATGGTGTCATAGAAGGTTGACATGTCCATCAGTACAGTGATGCCGTGATTCTTTCTGGCCTTGGTGACTTCCTGTCGAAGCAGCCTTTCCAGAGCTACATGCAGGACGTTGGCACCTGGTCAAGCTTTGTCATGGCTCATGCTGGGCGGAAGCTTCTGTTGCCATTGGTCCAGCAGTGATTTCCTCATCCGGCACCACACTCTCCATAGAGTGGAGGTGAGTGTGATGTGTCTCTCCATCCTCTGGTTTTTGGGCAGCGTGACCACCAGGTGCATCTGCAGTTGCGTTGGAAGCTCTGCTGTGGTTTCCATACGTTGGAAGAGCTGCAAGAGCGGATTGAGAGCCAGTGGTGGCATGCTTTTGAGCATCTGGGTAGACACGGCATCTGGTCCGCTGGCGCGGTCTGGAAGTGCCTTGAGGACCCTGCGCAGGAGTCCTGGTGTCAGAGGTTCGAGGTTTGCTGCTTGCTGTTGTGCCGCCTGCTGGAGACAGGGTCTCGGTGTGGGGTTCTCTTGTCTGATCTTCCAAAGACCTCCCCAGTCAGCTAACCGTTGGTCCATCCGTTGTGGCATTGGTGTCATACGATATGGTCGCTCCCAAGCCAGTTCACTGCTTTTCAAATTACGGAACAACCCTTTCAGACCTTTTTGGTAGCCTTCCTGGAGCCATTGCCTGTACTGCAAGGACGTCTCCTCGTTGGCTTCTTGTTGGGCCTCGTGGAGTTGACGCTCAATCGTTTGGAGGAGCAGTTGTGCTGCGTGAGGATCACGATATCTATGCCAATGGTGGCACGTGTCCAGAAATTGAGCCCAAGTTGGAGCCCCAACCCAGTGCCTGTGAGCATGCCGAGTCCTCTGCATGAACCCTTGAACTGGACCTCTGTGGCTGTCCGCCGGGAGTTGGAGTGCCAGTTGAAGTACCGCCCTGAGTTGTTCCCGGAATGCTGGCCGTCCCTTGCGCCAGGTGTGGGCTTTTGTTTGAGGAACAAGGGGTTTGGTTACCACTTGCAGCTGGTACCCACGCCCTTGGGCCGCCCAGGGGTTCTCCTGAAGGAGGTATTGCTCAGTCTTGGACAACCAGTCTGCCCATGCTTGTGCTGGTTTGTTTGGCGGGTTGCCGTATAGCTCAACCGTATGGGCCTGGGATTGGTACGTGGTCCACGGTCTGAAGTCAATGTCCGGCACCTTCGGTAATGGTGGAAAGTAGGGCATCTGACGGTACTCTCTGGTTGCAGCTTCAATGTCAAACTTCAACTTCAGCAGTGCATGTGGTCTCCATGGAACTGCCCATTCCGTGAGCAGGGTCGTTGTTCCTGCTAGCGTGTTGTGGAGGATGGCATAATCGATGGTGTTGCCAGAAAGCACACTGTGATCAGGAGCCAGTATCCCAAAGTGGAACTTGGAAGAAAGCACCGTGCCCGCCATGACATTGGGTGGATTCTGGCAGTCTCCAATGCACACAAAAGGGTGTGCAGTGTGAGTGAGCAAAGCTAGCAACCTTGCCATGATGGTGGCATTGGTCTCACTCTGAAGTGTTTCACCAGTCTTCATGTAGAGACCTATGACCAAGAGAGTGGTCTCCGTGGCCTGCCATAGGAAGCTCTGAAACCCGCATCCTTGCACCGTGTAGGCCTCAAACTGTGTGATGCCTGTTGCAGGGTCCGCAATCGCCAAAAGGCCGCCATGGGTACCTGTTTTGTCCTGGTTTGGCTCAGCAGGTGTGCCAAATGCTGTACGTCCTCTGACGGTCAGGGATTGGCAGGTCTCATAGTGTTTCTGTGGATCCAAATGAGTTT